TGTATTGTGTTGAGATATGTTCTCTGTCTATCTAGTCTTCCCAGGACCCTTATCAAGATGAAATATTTAATTTTAACAATAGCCTTTTCTGAATTTACTGAGATAATCATGTAGTTTCTTTCCTTCCACCTGTTTATATGGTAGATTATGTTTACTGACTTATATTTGCTGAACCATCCCTGCATCTCTGAGATGGAGCTGACTTGATCATGGTGGGTAATTTTTTTGATGTGCTCTTCAATTTAAAAATCTCGATAAAATAGCTGCAAACAAAACTGAAGAGCGCATCAAAAAAATTACCCACCACAGTGAATAAAGAAAATTGTAGACCTATTATCCTAATTATTCACTGTGTCTTTAAAAGGTTTGTGTATCAGTATAACTGGCATCATAAAGAGAATTTTGAAACGTATATTATTCTTCTATTTTATAAAATAGTTTGAGAAGCATACATTTTACTTTCTCTTTAATGATCTGGAAAAATTCTCTAACATATCCATCTGGGCTTGACTGATTTTCAGTCAGGAGTTTTTTTATTTTTGTTTCACATGTTTGCTAATAATGGATCAGTTTTAATTTTTCACATTTCACATTTTCTTAACTTTGCTATGTCATATGCACTAAGAAATTCATCTATTCATTTTAAGTTTTCTTATTTAATAAAGTAAAGGCTTTAATGTTTACTCTTGTAATCATTTACATTTCATAGGTGTCTTTTATAGTGTCTCCTAATTCTTCTCTAAATTTGTTAATTTAAATTTTGTTTGTCCTCTTTGTTAACTCGGCTAAAAGTTCATCAGTCTTGTTAACCATTGCAAAAAACTAAGACTTCATTTCATTGAATTGTTGCATTTTTTCTTTTTCATTTACACTTCATTAATTTCTGATCTTTTTCAGATATTGTTTATTCTTATATTCCCAAAGCATTAAAACACATCACTAAGATGTTTATTTGGATCTCTCTAAATATTTTTATGTTGGCATTTAGAGCAATAAACTTTCCTCTTAGGTATATCCCATCAACTTTGATATGTTGTCTTTTCACTTTTATTCAATTCTAATACATTTTTTTTGAAAGTAATTTTATTAAATTATAAAAGTTTCCATTTACGCCCCTCCTCCCACCACCCTCCCACTCCCCCCACTCCCTCTCCTCCTCCCTCTCCATCCCTAAGAGCAATCAGGGTTTCCTGCCCTGTGGGAAGATCAAGTTCCTCCCCCCTCCCTCCATTAAAAATTACATTTTTAATTTCCTACTTTTTGTTTATCTTCAGTGACCTGTTCATCATTCAGTAGTCTATTCTTCAGTTTCTGTGTCTGTATGTTTTCTGAGGTTTCTGTTGCTGTTGATATCATCTTATCAGATAAGATACAAGGGTTTATTTAAGTTTTCTTGTATATATTGAGAGCTTTCTGACCCAGTGTGAGGTCTGCTTTAGCGAAGGTCCTATGGGCTGCTGAGAAGACTGTACTTGAAAATGTTTGGGTGGAATATATTGTAGGTATTAGTTGTATCCACTTGATATATGATGTCTTTTAGTTCTATAATTTCTCCTCATTTTCTGACTTGATAATGTGTCCATTGCTGAAAATAAAGTATTCAAGTCACCTATTTTTTATGTGTTGGGGTTAATTTGTTGTTCTATGTCTAGAAGCACTGGTTTTATGAACCTGGGTATACCCGTTTGGTGCATGTATGTTTAGAATTGTAATTATGTTGATTAGTATGAAGTGACCTCATCTCTTTTGATTACTTCTGGTTTGCAGTCTACATTGTCTATTGGAATACCAATTCCTGCTTGTGTATAAGATATTTGATTACACTATGTAATAAAATGTTATTGTGATTGTTTTAATAAAAAGTTAAATGTCCAAGTCCAATAGCTAAGCAGGAGGGACAGCAGAGACTTCTAGGGACAGAGAGGTCTGGGAGAAGAAGAAAGGTGGGTCACCAGTAAGACACATAGGGGGCAAGACATGTACGAGGAGAAGTAAATGCTACAAACCATATGGCAACATGTAGGTGAATAGAAATGGGTTAATTTAAGTTATAATAGCTAGTGCGACAACTCTAAGTTATAGGCTGAGCTTCCATAATTAACAAGAAGTCACCAGGTCATTTTGTGTGAACTGGCGGCTCAAAGAAAAATCTACATATAAGCTTGTTTCCTGGTTCCACTTACTTAGAATAGCTTTGCCCGTCCTTTCACTCTGAGGCAGTGTCTATCTTTTGCGGTGAGTTGTGTTTCTTGAAGGCAGCGGAATGGTGGATTCTATATTTTTTTAACCGAGTCCATGTTTTTTGACTGAGTCATTTCGACCATTGATAACTTTCTTACTGAAAGGTATGGATTGTCCCTGTGATTTTGTTGATTCTACAGTTGGATGCATTTATCCTTTTCTGCAGTCGTTAGTATTCTATTCAGCAGTCTGTGTAAGGCTGAACCATAATCCACCTACTTGTCAGTTGGGATAGCCCATCGCATCTCTCCCACTTTATCCAATCAGTGCCCCACAGTGCTCGGCAGCCATTCGCTGCTGCGGCCATCATGTCTCTTCGGTGTCTGCAATAGGCATCCTCTCAGGTGATCAGATCTAATTGCCACTCCTCATCACCTGTGGCCTTAGGAGAGCCCTGCAATATCACTGTGGTTGGGCTCTTCTCAGAACGGGAAAAGATAATCCCAACATGACCCCACACACACACACTCAGTGTTCTGGGGTTTATTTTAAGTACTGTGAGTGTCTGGTGCACATAAGCACTCATAAGCACGTGTCACTATTGTTATTGTTGCTATAGGAAGGTATTTAGCCAGAGAGCTTTCCACACCTCCCACAGGAATTATGTGAGAACATCTGGATTTTATTTATATCACACTAGAGGATCCACATTTCCACTGTAACCTTTCCAGCTGCACTGTGGGGTTATTCAGTTGTCACTGGCTCAGCCTCACAGAATGACAGAAATCAGCAAGCTCCTAGATCACAAACCAGGCCAAGCAAAATCTCCAACCACATTCTTTCATCCCTCACCTTCCACTTCTTCCTCCCTCCATCTGTCCAGACCTATTTTCAGTTTGGGGTTTTTTTTCCTCTTTCCTTACTGTCTTCCGACCCAGGGTCACATCTCCCAGAGTCCAGCTTTGTAGGTTGGTCTGCTGTGGTGGACAGAGCTGAAGAGAACATACTAGCAAGGAGATGTGAACAGAAAAGATTTCAAAACCACCTCATTCCTTGCCTTAGTTTACAATCTTAAAACAAACAAACAGAAGAAAAACCATATGTGTTAGTAATGAGAGTTAGCTCCACTGGGAAGGCCAGAGCAGGAGAGGGCAGGAATCTAGCACTTCACTCAAGGAACGACCTTCTCAAGAAGAAACCTGTTCTCTTTTACAGTTAGAAACTGAGCTCTCATCCAAGGTTAACAATGGAGAAAGCTCAGCTTGGAAAATCCCGTGTAGGAGGATGGATCGCTTAAAACTGAACAAATCAAGAAACACGGCACCATATAAGCATCAGACTGAAGTCCTCACAAACATTTTCTACAGGGAATGCCAGCTTACAGAACTCAGGACCAAAACACATTTGACTAAACAGAGACAAAAAAAGGGCCACCGACTCAGCAGAGACTTCCTGTGATCTACCGTAGCACATTCTTAAGTCCAAGATCTTCCTGCTCTACACCGAGTCAATATCTGGGAGCAAAGTCTGAGGTCTTGAAAGTTAGGAGATGTGCCCAGGACACTCTACTAAAAAAAATCAACAGTCTCATCCAGAGAACGCATAAATGTAGTGGTCCACACCTCGGAAGGATGGCTCTGCCTCGCGGTGAGAAGCCTCTGCTCACACAGCGCACCATCTCCCAAGCAGACATCAGACACGGGTGCGAGCTGCACTGGCCCTGGTAGTAGCAATGCCACCACACGACATTATCTCACATGGCAGAGGCTTTGTATGTGTCCATTTGATGATAAAAACTCACGCAGGCTGGGAGTCAGGAAGGATCCTTTGGCGTCTCTGAGGGCGCTGCCCTTCTCTGCCTCCAAGGTCAGCAGAAGGCATTCAGTGGAAGGGGCAGGCCTAACTCATTAAAGCCATTGGTGTTTCCTAAATGTAAATGGTCGCGTTACATATGATGAGAAGAAAAAACTCTGGGAGCATGTGGAAATTCACTAAAAGAAAAATCACCCTGAATTTGTAACCTTGTAAGTAAATAAAAATAATGATGCCTGTCCCTAATGTGTGAGACCAAAAAAAAAAAAAAAAAATGGTACCAGCTTACTTGATTATATGCAGTTACAGTGTAAAAGTGGGAAGTGACGGGATCCTGTCCATTTAGACTAGGAAGAGCTATTGTAGAGCACTTCATCCAGTCCATCTAGATTTCCCCTTCCAGCCATCCGTGCTCCTCTCCCAACACTCATTCCATAGACAAAGATCAAATGAAGCAACTTAGTCTAAGAAAAATTAAGTTCCTCTTTATAGATTATATATTAAAATATTGTAACTGAAAGTCAATTTTCATTCAAAACAAAATCAAAAGGGCCAAAGAAATTCTTCAGTAAATGATAAACTAAAACATTATTTTGTGATATAAGATGAAGCATCTAATATATAAAGAATTGCTTACCAGTCAATGAAAACATCAAGCACCCCAATGATTAAGAAAGTGGCAGTTTATAATTACATTTATTTATTCATTTAAAATTGTTTATGGGGGCAGGTCTTGTGTAGCTTGTCATGGTGTATTTTGAGAACACTTGAAGAAGGTGATTCTCTTCTTCCTCTGTGTCTGTCCAGAGGGTTGAACTCTGCTCCCTGGAGTTGTTGGCAAGTGTTTTTACAAGCTGAGCCATCTTGGTAGTTCTAAGTGGCATATTTTTCAATTCCTAAGAATTCTTGGTAAACTCTCACTCTAACTTTAAAGAAAAGAAATGTAATTTGAGGCAACAAGATCCATGCTTACTCATTGACAAAATGTTTAAAAGGTTACTTACTATTCAGGGATGTGGGAGGCTGGAGAAGGGAGTCCTTATGGGTTCTGCTGTACTCATACCAGTTTCTGAACATCAGTCTATCAATATGCCGAAAGCCTTGGAGCATGTGTCCTTTACTGTGCTACAAAACTGAAGAAGAATTGGTCTAAATGCTCACAAGTAGGGGTGAGAAAAAATACATTTCTGCACTTGTATTAATTGAGGATGACCTGGTCATGCTGCAACTAGTGTAGACTGGTCCTTGAAAACTGACTGGGTCACAAGGGAATAAACAAGAAACAGACACACTTACCAAAAAGCTGGGATCAAATGGGAGGCGCTCTCTCCGATGGGGCAGCACCAGCTGTAGCAAGCAAGGCTGGAGCCTCACGTTGCAGTCATCCAGGAGAAGGAAGCTGTGGCTGCTGGTTTCTGCACGTACTGCCAACATGGCACTAGGACCAGAGGGAGGCTGTGCCACCTTGCTGAGCATTACCCAGACTGGGGAAGACATTGGCTTTTCCGTGAATTTGAGGCATCTGGATCCTCGTGTCAAATAATACACCGTCCTTCAAGGTTTCCTCCACTCCACACACAACGAGCTACATGATAACATAAATTTAAGGCCACAAAAAAATGTTTATAAAGTATCAAGTGGTAGAAAAACTGCTACAGCATAATTTAATAACAAAACTGAAATCCTTGTAAATAAAACACTGTGACAGCAACGTCATGGTTAATTTCCATCATTATTTTCTGTTTCAAAACTTTTGACAATGAATAGGTATTAGCTAAAGATATAATGTATCTGATTTACATGAAGTGTCCGCTGGGATAAATCTGACTTGTCAGTGTGGAGGAGGAAATGTCTATATTGAAGAAGTTTTCAGTGCCTCGTCCCTCACCCCCAGGATTTCTTCTTTAAGCCTTCCAACAGGCAGATTCTACTCACTAAATGCCACTCCTATGAAAATAGAACAAATGACGAAAATAAAGCAAGTCACCAAGCCAAACTAACAGGGATTTCTTACCAGTCAGGAGAACACATCAGGGGTTCTTTCCACTCTTAAGCATCCCTTTGTGACTTGCACTACTGAAGCAGGGTCACTGGTCTAAAAGCTGTTAGTGCCTGATTAATTAGTAATCAGGACAGGGTTGATGGTTTTTCTTCTTCAGAGCCAGTAATTATCATTCTTGACACAGAATTCAACATTTGGTAAGCAGCAGACACACCGCTGTCACCATTATTTTCTGCCCCGTGCTCCAAATCTATTTAAAGGCTATAGTTGGAAAGAACTCTTGCAGAGATGACGTTACCCTCAGCAGCCCCTTCCTGGACTCCTTTATATGACTGTTTCCTTGTATTCTCTGGGGATGTGGCTGACTACAGGAAAGAGCAGAGAACGGAGGGATGCAAGTATGTGGCTCTGACAGGTTAAAAACTCATCTGTGGTTACACAAAAGGAAAGAGAGGGACTATGAAGGGCTATTGTGTTATAAAGAAAGATTGCACATGCTAGTATGGAAACATTTAAAGAATTGACCTCCACCTTTTCAATTTTGAGCAGTGTGTCTGCAAAGAAACATATGTACACAATGGTCTAAAGCTGCGGTCTATCTAGGACCCATTAATAAAAGCTACTGTATGGAAAACACTTGTAATAACAACTTCCCCGTCATACAAGTTTGGCAAGTGAGTAAGCAAATTGCAACTACCCATGTTTCCATTCTCAATGCTAGAGGTTACCAAGCACACAAAGAAATCAGTGAATGGGTAAATGAACAAGTGAACGAGATGACAACGACAGTACAAGCTATCTCACAACCTGAGATGATTCAGCTGTGTATCCCTGAATACACACCGCAGACGCTGTCCTGTGGGAGCAAGAAGGCATGAATATCCCTGGCCCTGGTACGTTCCCACAGTGAGGGGTCATTCCCATCACAGACCCACAACTTAAGACCAACCAGAGGTCTTAATGAGCCTGGGTTCATAATGCCTTCCAAGTCAACATTCGATCAGAAAAGCTTGATTGGCACCAAGGCAGAGTGACTTCTGCAATGCTACTGGCCATGTACCTACAGATAACACCTCAAACGTAACTGATTTTTAAGACTATTGTAGACATGTCAAACTTCATACCTAATACATGACAGTTTCCCACTTCTTCATAAGTTAATATGTTAAGAAAAAAAGCTAACTTGCATAAGCTTGGCTTGTACTTTTCAGACTTTTTTCCAAGAGATCATGTTTTAAAATGTGAATGAATCATTAAAAAGATCTTTACAATTATAATAAAATTATAATGAAAAATATTAACTGCTTGAATTTTAAAATATAAGATAGATATATTGTTAAACTAGCAGTACTGTTATAGACAGACTTTTCTACACACTGGGTCCTTTCAATGGAAAACGAATTTGGAAACAGGCTGTGACAGTCCACACCAGCATCCTAGCGCTCAGGAGGCTGAGGCTGAGGCTGAGGCTCAAATGGTAAACTTGTGACCATCCTGGGCTACATACTAAAACCTTGTCTCCACTGAAGCTCAGTTTAAGAATTGAGTCAATACTATGCACAGCTCAATATTTAGGAGTAAAATAGATTGACATCCGCCACCTACTTTGAAACGCATAATAAAAATAAGCGAGTCACTGGAAGGACACAGGACGGGTACATGAGATGTTTGACAAAGCCAAGTAGGATACTTATCAAGATGACAACAGTAGAATTTACATGTTACATATATGATTTTTCCCTAGGATTCTTCAACTTTTCTGTGTAACTTTAAATTTTCACATTAACATGTTATGAAAAATATGTCTGACCAGCCTTTGCACTGAGTGATTAGTTTCATCAGCTCTCATCCTCTCAAAAGTCATGTTTCATCAGGTACAGCTTTCATGTCTGCATTCATCACTTTCTCCATACTGGATCTTTTTACCTTTTCCCATGAAAATAGTGTGTGCATTCTGGGTTGGAGAGGGAAGATATATATGTGTTTGATGGAAAGAGAAATAATTTTAGTTAGACTTAAGAGAGAGATTTGTACTACTCACAGTTTGCAGACTGCAGAAGCCTAACTCGCTCTGACTTAAGCCAAATAGAGAACTCAGTTCAGTTCTCTCAAAGTCCAGCTATAGCAGTAGGGAGGTTCAAGCTTGATTAGATCCAAGAGCTCTAATGAGTTTGTCAATAGTCTACTTTCTTTATTTCTCTGTGCTTCTTGCATTATGCTGCTATTTTTAAGCTATCCTAAGAACATTTGAGAAGCAATTATGTGAATGGTAAGTTCACAGCATCAGGGTATATATTAATTGTTGAATCCTATTTTTAAAAATTCTATCTCTAAGTCTGTGACCCATTCTGACAACCATACTATTACTCACCAAACAATTCAAAAGGTTCCTGACAAGAGCTTCCCTTTCTTTCTCCTTGTTGCCTCACTCTGAGGTTCTCTGAAGTTTTGGACTCATTCTCACCACTAGCCTAGCACTCATTGTGCAAAAGTAACCAGTGACTTTCATATGAATGAAGGTGGAAGGTGGAAGAGGCCTTCCATTGCCATCTCACACACTCTCTTTGCAGCTTTTGACAACACTGACCATTCACTTCTCCCCTCTGAACAGCGGATTAGCTTAAAATATTTGACTTGAGAGATAATCTCTAGTAGCTTAAGTGAGGAAGTTGAAAATAGGAGACGAGGATGAGAGAGATGCCATAAAATACATTAATCAATGATGTGGGATATTCTTCTGTATATGTGTTGATTTTATTGGTTAATGAATAAAGGTGTTTTGGCTGATGGGTTAGCAGAGCAAAGCCAGAAGGAAACTCCAAAGAGAATTGTAGAGAGAGAGAGTAGGCGGAGTTAAAAAGACGCCATGTAGCTGTAGAAGGAGACAGACACTGGAAAATCTTACCCGGTAAGCCACAGCCTCGTGGTGAAACACAGATTAATAGAAATGGGCTAATTTAAGATATAAGAGTTATCCAGGAATATGCCAAAGCTATTGGTCAAGCAGTATTGTAATTAATACAGTTTCTGTGTAATTGTTCAGTTCTGAACAGCTAGGAGAAGAATGAGCAGTCTCCTCTTACAAATCAATAGGACCCTCTTCAGCTTCCAGATGGCTCAGGCTCTTAATGTGACACCTTAAAGCTCCCCATGCCCCCACCTTGCTTAGCTTCAGCAGTAGTTCCCACCATTTAACCCTTATATGCCTTTCTTGTCACTTTGTACCCTCCTCTCTACCTGCAATTGGGGACTCTGGTATTCAGTGACTATGTCATTCACCACTGGGCCCAGCTGCTTCTCCTCCTCCTACAGCATAATGAACAAATTTTTAGATTGGTACCATTTACTATTATTATATCAACATGAACTTTTCCCTTTCCCATCACTCATGAAAGACTACAAGGACCTAAAAGTTAAATACCATTCAATATTCTATAAGCACTTAATAAGAGTGAAGTTAAAATACTAAGGTACCATTATACATATCTTCCAACTTAAGCACACAGAATTAACTCTATGTAGTCATGGAGAATGAGGATAAGTCACAAAAGCTTTTGTTAAGGAATGGTGGAAGGAGGAGAAGCATAGAAGTCTGTTTCACTCAGCATACTGGTAAGCTAGTTCTGGCTGAGTGCCCCAGGCATAAGTTCCTGGATCCAGAGAAGAAAAGAGAGGCCAGATAGCCCATGCATGTTCCTTGGTGAAATGCGAGGGTTTCCAGAATCAAGAATTGACTTCTGTTGCTAAGCTAAAGATCTCCCTTTATCACAAGGTGCTGGGAGTTCACTGTGCTATTGCTCTTTCCTGCCTTAGCCAGCTATAAACTCACACCAGAAAATCAGTTACTTGAGGTCACACCTTCAGAATCTCAAAATAGTTATAAGTAAACATATTTTAAACATTTATCATCTATGCATTCAACTAATGTTTTTTAATGTTTTAATAATAAAACATATATGAATAAATATGAAATGGTAAAAGGATGTGGATCAGTGTCCCATCAAATAGCATTCTATGTAGTGGAAATACTCTGTAGTCCTGTTATCAAGTGTTGTCTTCCAAACCTTAAATGTGGCTATTGATTCCGAAGACTAGATTTTTTTTTTATTTTCTATAGTTAGAGTTTAGTTGAATTTAAGAATCTATGTGTGGCTAGTTAGCAATGTATTAGCACAGGATAGTTAGAAAAAAACTATTTCCTTTTGTTCTGCAATTGATTTCTTTTGCTCAGAAAAGTCTACTCCTAAGAGACTTTTAATCATCTTCCTGACCATATTCTACACACTTACAGTATCTATGTTACCTACATGCACAAACAGTAATAACCAAGCTGCAGGATACACTTCGAAACTAATTTACTTTTTAAAATTTAGTTTTGTATCTTCATCTCTAAGTATAGGATGACCCCACAAAAGAAAATGTTGAAGTATACATCTGAATGTGTCATTTTTACATGAATGTTTTGAATGATATAACATTTTCCTGGGAAAGGAATTGTAATGATTGTCTAGAAGGTCCCAGGTCATTCATATATCCTTTGATTCTTTAGAAGTTGAAGAAACTCAGGAAATAACTATTCTAGC